CCCCAAAACCCCAAAACCCCAAAACCCCAAAACCCCTTTTGGAAACAGAAATTGAGCTGAGAAATATGAATTATCTATTTATGCAATCTTACATCTGAACAAATACTTGATCTTCACATTTGAAACATCATAAGTGATAAATTCGTTGTATCTGAGGTAGTAGCTGCTGCCGAGATCTTGCATTGGCCCAATACAAGCAGGAATGCCACTAATGTCTACTTCGTTCTTTGGCACCCATCTTCCGACTCCTTTAGTAGATCCTTTGCCTTTTGGAAGTTTATTGGCGTTATAGTCCGCATTCTTGAGATCCCTGGTGCTTCCGAGTGCGACTTCACAAAGAGCAAGCAGTCCTTCATTGTTAGATAGGTGAGAACAGCAGTATGCAGCAGATTTGGTAACAACATCAGCAAAGTAAACTCCTTTTCCAAACATATATCCAGTGGCAGGGGCTTCTGGTGGAGCGATTCTTAATCCTTGAGATAGGATACCTCCCCAGTTGGAGAACCTTGATCCATGCCAGAGGAGCTTTTTATTGCCCATCTTCTTATTAAATCTCTCTTCCTCTCCTTCTCTCTGAATTTCGAATACTTCCAGAGGTTTGACTTTGTAGTAATGAGTTGAACCGTGAGTAGAAGTGATTGTCTTAATCTAAAAATAAATAAGATATGGGCCTAAACGGTACTAACTTACCAAGTTGTCATAATCTTCATGATCTTTTTCCACAGGGACTATCTTACATTTCATCATATCATATTTGGCATCCAGCGCGTTTTTGTCACTGTTGTCCTTGTCAACACCATTCATGATTTCAGCAGCAATTTGAATGTCTCCAAGGGCTTCAACAAGCTCTAATTTATCTTTAAGTTTTTGTCTAGTGTCAATCACGAATTGAGATAACTTGGCAAATCCGAAATCATGAGGAATTATTGAATAAAACTCTGAGCTTAGAGCTCCTAAATTTGTCAAGCTGCCGACCCCCTTCATTTCTTGATCAATCTTTTGGAGAACTTTGTATCCTTTGGTGATAGTAGCCTTTGAGAGTTTACCAAGAGGTAGTTTCTTGACGTTAAATCCAACCTTAACAACACTTTTCTCGATCATTTTCATATCAAAAATGAAACTTAGCAACTTTTGTACTGAAGAAGGAAGCTCTGATTCCTTCTTTTTCTGTTGTTTAGGCTCTTTGCTCTTCTTTTTTTCTAATGCTTCCACCTTCTTGGTAGTTTCTTCAACGTCTTCATAAGTGATTTCAATTTGGTTGTATCCTTTACTAGTCTTTGCACTCAGCTTTTTGTTAAATTGAGCTATAAGGGCAGTTTGATTTCCTCACATAAGCTTGCCGACCTGGCCATCTACTCCAACTCTTCCCCATCTCGTCCAAAGATAATAGGAAGAGCCTGATTTGAGACCTTGGATGATGTAGAACTTGTTATTGTTTCTCACACAATCAGCATACATCAGATGAGCGTTTAGGACTTTGCCTCCAGCACATACTACTTCATAAGATCCTGGATTCGGAATCTTATGGTCTACCAGGACTCCATTAGACATAGAGCTAGCAATTTCCTTATTTTGGCTCTTATCCTCTTCGTCCTTCTTGTTGTTAGCTTTGGCATCTCTCTTCTTAGTCTTATTCTGCACCTTCGCTGCCTTAGTTGCCTTGGAAGTTTTTGTTGTTGGAGCTTTCTTAGCCTAAAAGGATAAGCATAAATATTCTTTAGAAAAATTATGAAATAATTCTTGATAAGTCATCACCTAGATAGTAAGATATTTATGTTTGAACTATCTAGGGTCTATACTGAAGAAATAAAGTACAAATTAGGGTCAAGATCTTCACAATAAAATCTTTTGGAGACTTGTGCAATCGAGAGTGCATTAACCATACATCTCTCTTAATTAATGAAAGGAAATTATCTCTGTTTGGTGAACCATGTTTTATAAGACAAAGAGTCATGGAAATAGCAAGAGCATACCTGAGTTTTAGCTTTTCTTTTTCCAGCCATTTTTATTATTAATTATAAAAACATGAGAAATTTTTAAATGGAGCTCGAAGAAAATCTTACAGTTTTTAGGTCAGGAATCAGAAAGTATCATAAAGCAATAGGATGCTTATATAGTTCCTATTAGCATTTAGGGATTACTTTATAGGAGGAATAGTAGTTCAATGAATACTTATATCACATTAAAGCAATCAGAATTTATCAAAATTTGCACTTGTTCATTAGATTTTATCAGTATTTTCAAGCAAATAAGAAGTCAGAGGGGTTTTGGGGTTTTGGGGTTTTGGGG